CCATAATGCCAAATCTCCCGTTCCACCTCATTCCAAATGTGCTCTATTGGATTGAGATCTGGTGACTGTGGAGGCCATTTGAGTACAGTGAACTCATTGTCAAGTTCAAGAAACCAGTCTGAAATGATTCACGCTTTATGACATGGTGTGTTATCCTGCTGGAAGTAGCCATCAGAAGATGGAGACACTGTGCTCATAAAGGGATGGACATGGTCAGCAGCAATACTCAGGTAGGCTGTGGCGTTGATGCTCAATTGGTACTAATGAGCCCAAAGTGTGCCAAGAAAATCTCCCCCACACCATTACACCACCACCACCAGCCTGAACAGCTGATACAAGGCAGGATGATCCATGCTTTCATGTTGTTGATGCCAAATTCTGACCTGAGCATCCGAATGTTTCAGCAGAAATGGAGACTCATCAGAGCAGCAACGTTTCTCCAATCTTCTATTGTCCAGTTTTGGTGAGTCTGTGTGAATTGTAGCCTCAGTTTCCTGTTCTTAGCTGACAGGAGCGGCACCCGGTGTGGTCTTCTGCTGCTGTAGCCCATCCGCCTCAAGGTTGGACGTGTTGTGTGTTCAGAGATGCTCTTCTGCAGAGCTCGGTTGTAACGAGTGCTTATTTGAGTTACTGTTGCCTTTCTATCAGCTGGAACCAGTCTGGCCATTCTCCTCTGGCATCAACAAGGCATTTGCGCCCACAGAACTGCCGCTCGCTGGATATTTCCTCTTTGTCGGAGCATTCTCTGTAAACCCTAGAGATGGTTGTGCGTGAAACTCCCATTAGATCAGCAGTTTCTGAAATACTCAGACCAGCCCGTCTGGCAGCAACAACCATGCCTTGTTCAAAGGCACCTAAATCCCCTTTCTTCCCCATTCTGATGCTCAGTTTGAGCTGCAGCAGGTCATCTCGACCATGTCTACATGCCTAAATGCATTGAGTTGCTGCCACGTGATTGGCTGATTAGAAATTTGCGTTACCAAGCAGTTGGACAGGTGTACCTAATAAAGTGGCCGGTGAGTGTATCTATGTGTGTGTGTGTGTATACCGTGTGCGCTGTGCTCTGCTTTGGGCGTCCCATCCTCCTCCTGTGTGGCCAGCGGGCAGCGGTGCTCTCTGTAGTATCGGTGTCGGCTGAATCCTCTCCTGCAGGTGCTGCAGCGGAAGCGGTAGTTGTCCGTATGAGAGCGCTGGTGCTCCAGCATATGAGCACGCCGACTGAACGACTTCTGACACACCTGACACTTGAACGGCTTTATACCTGCAGACAAACAGCACACCATTAACACAGCCACATTCAGAAAAAAAGAAAGTCCTATTTGTTTTATTTCAGCTAGAATAAAAGCAGATTTTAATTGTTTTAAAGCCATTTTAAGGTCAATATTATTAGCCCCCTTAAGCTATATTTATTTTGGATTGTCTCCAGAACAAACCACTGTTATACAATGACTTGCCTAATTACCCTAACCTTACCCTATAATTAACCTAGTGAAGCCTTTAAATGTCACTTTAAGTTGAATACTAGTGTCTTGAAGAATATCTAGTCTAATATTATTTACTGTCATCATGACAAAGAGAAAAGAAATCAGTTATTAGAGATGAGTTATGAAAACTGTTATGATTAGAAATGTGTTGAAGAAATCTGCTCTCCATTAAACAGAAATTGGGAGCAAATATATAAACGGGGGACTTCAACTGTACAACATATTATTATTATTATTTTTTTTTTTAAATCTTTTTATTGTTTTTAGCATAACAAATAATCAACAACATAAACAGAACAAAAAACAACTTAAAAAAATAAATAAATAAAAATAAGGGGGTGTTACAAAGGCCATTTCAAATACAAATAGTCAGACACAACGTAATACAACATCATCCAGAAAGCATAAGGAAATAAATAGAATTACATATGAAACAAAAATTATTTACAGAGAAATGCATAGGCTCCACAATTCGACTTACTCCAGACCAATCTCACTTATAAAGAGTTACAAGTTAGCATTACTGATATAGAACATAATTGGGCTCCAGATTTTTACAAATGTGTTTAGTTTGTTTGTCATCCCATATCGCATTTCCTCCATGGGCAACACGAAACTTCGAAAACAGGCACATAATCTGACTTCCAATTTTGTAAAATTATTTTCTTTAACATGTTATTATTATTATTATTATTATTATTATTGTTGTTATTGGTGTGCTCACCTGAATGTGAGAGGATGTGAGCTTTGAGTTTGTCTGGTCGGTTGAACTCTTTGGTGCAGCCCACATGAGTCCTGCGAACACAAAAACACTGATGTCTGTTTTGCGGCTCGTACTGATGATTACGGTCATATCTGAATGAGTTCGCTCACCTGAACGGACACTTGTACTTCTTGAAGGGCTCGTGGATCAGCATGTGTCGCTTCACTTTATCCTTCCTGTTAAACGTGGCCTCGCAGACGGAGCATTTGAACGGCTTTTCTCCTGGGAAAAAAAAGCACACGTTTCGCATCCGTCACACCTTTACAGCAAATTCAGCCAGCTATTACAGCCCCTTAACTACATTTGATTCATTCTGGACAAATGATTAGGTCTAGAATAGCAAAACCTGTGTGTTTGATTTTGTGCTGCAGCTTGTGAGTGCATTTTTGAAGCGAAATGCTACGAGTGAAATCTGACTCTGTAGGCTGCTTTTACACTGCACTGCTCAAGTGACTCAATAGACTGATGTCACGCGGCCGCCATTTTCAAAAGCGAAATCGAGGCTGCGGTGGGAAGAAACCCGGAAGTATCATTGGGAGTTACATAGGAATGTTGTGTAGCTGGCTGTATATCTTATCAGCGAAGAGAAAGTGAAACAAATTTATAATTTCTCCTCCTTCCTGGTAACCCGAAGGTCCGTTCTGAATGAATGGTGAATGTAATAAGGGATATTAGAGCTCATTTTTAGCTAAGTTAAGGGAAATGGCACAAGTTAGCTAACGTTTTCTTTCCCAAACACACGTTTTAGATGCTATTAATCAAACTCGAGTTAATAAACTGATTCTTTCACTATATTAGACTTGTCACGATACTGAATTAAAAGAAAAACTGCAATTTCACGCTAACATTTAAGGCAATGTTGATGGCTTTCTTAAAACAGCGCTGATAAGCCATTGTGTTCACGTGTTCAACAGAAATGATTGTGATTGGCCGAGAAGGTCATCAGTTCACCCACCGCTGTATACTGAGCACAAACTGACAGACGAGCCGAGCGATCTGCTTGATGACTCGACTGATCTTGACAGCTGCTTCGCGCTCCAGTCCGTGTATCTGTGTTTGCACTGGGTGAAGAGCGGTAAACTGAGCGCAAACCAAACACAGATACACGGAGACTGAAGCGCGAAGCCGGGAAGATCAGTCGAGTCATCCGCGCTCTGCAGCGCTTCCATGTTAACGGGAAATAGCCGGGTTTACAACTCCAGTAAGGGGACAAAACTATTAACTGTTACAGACAACATGAGGGCGTGCTGCAGAGGACTGCAGTGTTTTCACTCATCTGGCTACATAGACTGAAGCAGGAAAGCGTCCTCACGGTGTTTAACTGGTGCCATGAGCTGAAGCCCAGGAGGACACTTAAGCGCATCACTGAGGTTGTGATGTTGTTTGATGCTAAATTGCTTTTAATTGTTTAAAATAAACTTACTGAATGATATTGAAGTGATGTTTACACCATTTCTGCATTTTGAAATCTCTGCAACAGCTAGAAGTTTGTAGTACACAGCATGTTCCTGGAATGTTTACAGTGCTGGTCCTATACTTCCGGGTTTCTTCCCACCGCAGCCTTGCTTTGGTTTTTAAAATGGCGGCCGCGTGAAATAAGCGTATTTCGATTTGTTTCTCCCATGTGGCACAGATCGCATATGACCCATGTAAATGTAAGCAGGAACAAATCACATGAATTCCGATTTACTCAAATCAGATTCAGGCCTTGTTCATGCCAGGAAATTTATCCGATATGAACCGGATCTGTGTTCTCGTGTCTAGAGTGTAAGCAGGTAGATCGGATTTTCACCTGTCAGTGAGAGTCGCGCGTCATTAAAAACCATTGCGAATGACGTCAAGTCTGACGCTTTCTTTTCAGAACAGACTTCAGCAGAGTCCCAAACCTTAAATCTCATACTCAAGGACTTAAACAGCTTTTATATTGTCATATAGCGCAGATATAAGCATGTTAACGAGAGAGAGAGAGAGCGCAATGTCCGCCACGTAACCAATGCAAACTGATTTAAAACTATTGCATAGCTACATCACGTGCATAAATCACGCCACAGACATTACATTTAGGGTGCTTTCACACCTGTGAATCGATTCAGTTGTTCTGAAACAGAGATTACAAATGTAACATTGTTGCTCTTTGCTCTTGGAGCGGTTCGCTTTCACACTGCAAAGTTTCTAATCGGACCAAAAGAGCTAAAACAAGTCACGTGCAGGGAAACTCTCCTTACATTGGTCAGAGTGTCGGGGTTTATTTTGCAGCGTCCCGCTCAGCTGTCAGGAGAGGTGGTGGTTTGGTGGTGATTGACAGGGTGCACGCGTGACGTGTATGAGGAGATATGCGGTGGGGAGGGGTGAGAAGGGTGCGCGACGATGCCTATTTGAGGACCGGGAGGGAGACGCGAGATTACCGGGAGATCATCACTCGTTTGCGGGCATCCGGAGACTCGCGAAACTTCCCGCCCTACTCATAATTCTCTCTTCATATAGCCGTAAGCCTATTACATATCCATAAAACACTGTGATATAACCGCGCTCGGATCGGATCGCTTTCTCACTGCAATCGAACCGCTCCAGGGTTCGTTTCAATCGAGCCGAGACCACCTCATTCAAGCGATCTCGAAGCGATTACTTTGGCGCGGAACAGAGCGCGATTGCCCTGTTCACATATGCCAAACGAACCGCGCTAACTGGGCAAACGAGACACGTTCCGAAACAAAAGTGTAGGTGTGAAAGCACCCTAAGACTCCTGAAGGTTTAAAAAAGCCTTTATATCAAAAGAAGATGGACAAATGAGAACCTTTCTGTCATAACCTATAGTAAAACAGTCAAAAGCTGAAAACAGATTACAGGAATAGAAAAAAAGAGCGCTCTTTAATTATCAGCTGTTAGTCAGCGCCCGCTCTTTCTTTTTTCCTGGTCATTGCGCCTTTGCCGTGTGCTGTGTAAACGCAGACGATCGGATACGAGTCACTTTTAAAAGATGATGTAAGCAGCTTCTCAAAACAATCGGATACAGTCACTAAATCGGAATCAAGATCTGCAGTGTAAATGCAGCCTATGTGGTGTCAGGGTATTTTCAGCAGTACCTGAGTGGATCTGCGTGTGCAGTTTGAGGTAGTGCTCAGTCTTGAAGAACTTCTTACAGATCTGACACTTGAATTTCCCCCCGACACCGTGAGTGGAGAGATGCCTGCGGAAATAACGCTCGCACGGAAACACCTGACACACATGTACACACAAACACACAGAAAGACAAACACACCGGTTCACATCTGATGACTCGATTTTTTTTCTTCTTTGATTCCTTAAAGGGCCATGAAACCCCCTCGTTTCAGCAGGGTGTTTTCACACCTCTACTTTGGAAAAAGTCAGAAAAGTGGGCGTGTCCAGCTCTGTTTAGGGGGGAGTGTCGGAGGAACTAAAGTGGGAGGGTGTGGGAGTGTCTATTTGTGGTCAATGCGCACAGTGTAATTTTACAACCAAATGTCAGTTTTTTAGTCATCCACATTCAGGTAAACAATTAAAGATTAAAGGTGTGATTTCATGCAACACAAAAAATGTGATCTATATGATTAAATGTCCTTGTGGTTTAGCCTATATAGGTAAAACAAGACGGTGTTTAAAAACACGAATTGCTGAACACAGAAGTAATATACGATTAAACGATCAACGAAATCCTATCGCCGTTCATTTTAATGCATTGAAACATAACCTTGCGACTTTGCGATATATTGGCATTGAACAAGTGAAGGTGCCGAGAAGGGGTGGCGATGTTGACAGACTTTTATTACAGAGGGAAGCGTTTTACATTTACACACTAAACACTTTATCCCCGAGAGGTTTGAATTTAGATTTTGATTTAAAATCTTTTTTGTAAGTGTTTGTGCATTCTATATTGTTGTATACTTTTCCCAGAGATGGGTTGCGGCTGGAAGGGCATCCGCTGCGTAGAGACTTGCTGGATTGGTTGGCGGTTCATTCTGTTGTGGCGACCCCGGATTGGTAAAGGGACTAAGCTGACAAGAAAATGAATGAATGAATTGTTGTATACTAAATATGTACATAATGTTTTTTGCCCCTAGGTCTACTGGCTTTGTTTGAGTGATGTAATTTTGTGCAGGTGTGATGTGCTATATCTATCTAGCCTATAGAATACTGTCTCCGAGGAATTCTATAGTGAGAATTTGTATTTGTATTTTAAATGTCTGTTTGTAATTGTATTCATGTTTTTCACATTGTTTAAGATGTATATTATTGTATGCAATTGTTCCTGTTTACCGGCTTGTTAGCTGATTGTGATAATTGACTGCAGGTGCTGTGTAGAGCTGTTTGTCTATTTCTGGAGGACTTCCATTTGCAACGCTTTACCTGATGAAGACCATGTCGGTCGAAACGTAGTGTTTTTGTAATTTTGACTAATAAAAATTTTTTGAGAGCTAAAGTGGCAGTGTGCCGACCTACTTTGAATGTTTAACCTACATGGACATCTGTAGTGGAATTATTTGCCAAATTATTAAATGGTGGACTTTAACTGCAGTTTGGCTCTTTCATTCAGGGAATTCATTCATGCCCCTCGCGACAAACGAGATACTTGATTCGAGGAACTGCTGCAAGCGTGTATTTTTCATGCAATGTTTGATACCGCACGGCGAATGAGAGAAAAAAAAACCTCCGCATTTCCCGGAAACTTAGATGCACACGACAGGTAGCATCAGAAAGCCGCGTGTGTTATTCCGGTCACAAAATGCGGAGCTAACATTTCTGCACTCAGTGCAATAGTTAACTTAATTCGATACGAACAAACTGAATAAACAAAGAGCACTGGTCGCTCACTTACCAAATCTGTAGAGACAGGACAATCACCAGCAACTAGAGCCGCGTCTTTATGGAGAGAATACTACAAGCGAATCCGGATCTCAGCGTTTGCAGATGAGAACAGCTCTCAGGTAAACAATAATCCTCCTTAGACACGTAAGTTATTGTTGTCGAGCGTCGCGTACACTGTTAATCCACACGTGACTCCAGCTGCGCTCTCACAGAGAGAAAATGAAAACGAAACTTAACGGCAGCAAACTATAAAAGCAACACTTCACGCTTGTTTTGCCAACACAACGGGAGTTGAGGTTAAGTTTTCACTTAACCTCCTTTCTGAAACGGGATCCAGATCACCTACTGCACCTTTAACTTCAGCTAACAAATCAGTTTTTGAAAGTATATTTTAGTATTAATCACACGATGCACTTTTATTATTCACATACTATAAATGCGCTAATTATGTGAATTATATTTTAAAATATAAAATATTCAGAACTTATTTTTTATTTCAGCTAACAAATCCGTTTTTAAAGTATATATTAAGTTTTCATTGATGAACACGCTCTATTTTGTTTGTTTTAATTTAGTTTTGATTTAAGCTTGTATTCTAATATTATTTATATTTACATAGATTTTTAATAGCAGTTTTATTATTTATACAACAGTATATTTATTAACATTTATTATTTATTAACATTTATTTATGTATTTTTTTGTATTTATGAATATTTTTATTTTGAATATTTAAAAGAAAATTCATTTTAACCTATTTATTTATTTATTTATTTATTTGACATTTACATCACAATTACACTGGACAACCAAATGCATTTGTTTAAAGGGCCATGAAGCCCCCTCGTTTCAGCAGGGTGTTTTCACACCTCTACTTTGGAAAAAGTCAGAAAAGTGGGCGTGTCCAGCTCTGTTTAGGGGGGAGTGTCGGAGGAACTAAAGTGGGATGGTGTGGGAGTGTCTATTTGGGCACGCGCGAGTTTCAGTCAAAATACACACACATAAGAAAGTGATGGTGTTTAAACTTAAAAAGTGAGTATGTTAACCCTGAAATAAGAGAAACTCTGAGTTTTCCATTTCAAAATGGCAGGTTTGTCAACAACAGCGATTTTAAGACTTTCTAAGGCCTTAAATTTTGATTTTAAAATTTTAGACTTTTTAAGACCCCGCGGAAACCCTGATATTAAATATATTGATATTAATTATATATTTTTATTGTGGGCGAGGCAGTGGCGCAGTAGGTAGTGCTGTCGCCTCACAGCAAGAAGGTCGCTGGTTCGAACATCGGCTCAGCTGGTGTTTCTGTGTGGAGTTTGCATGTTCTCCCTGCCTTCGCATGGGTTTCCTCCGGTTGCTCCGGTTTCCCCCACAGTTCAAAGACATGTGGTACAGGTGAATTGGGTAGGCTAAATTGTCCGTAGTGTACGAGTGTGTGTGTGTGTGAATGTGTGTGTGGATGTTTCCCAGAGATGGGTTGCAGCTGGAAGGGCATCCGCTGCGTAAAAACTTGATGGATAAGTTGGCGGTTCATTTCGCTGTGGCGACCCCGGATTAATAAAGGGACTAAGCCGACCAGAAAATGAATAAATATATTATTATTAGGAATATTTAATAAGCTAAAAATGCTTAATGAAATAATAATAATAATAAATGCACAAATACTTAATTTATTTGGAAGCTGAATTAAAAAAAAAATGAAGCCAAGAAAAATAAAGTTATGTTTGGTTGAGTAATTTTAAACAAAATAAAATATTTAAAAAGGTATAATTCACATCATTAGTAGATTATAGTGTATGAATGCTGACGGCGCTGACCTTCTGGCAGTGTGGACAGGGGTAGTTGTGTGTGGCGTTCAGCAGATGTTGCTCCAGAGCCTCCTGTGTGGAGTATTTACTCTGACACTTCATACACCTGAACACATCACACACACATTAAACACACACACGTTAAACACGCTTGCATGCAGTATTGTGAATGTGAGTGTGTCTGTCTGTCTGTTTGTCTGTCTGTTAGTGTGTGTTAGGGCTTCGGCTTGGTGTGTTCCAGCCTTAAGTGTGAGTGTGTGCGCGAGTGAGATCACACATCAGATGTGTGTGTGTGTGTGTGTATATGAATGAGTGTGTTTCTGTCTATGTATGTGTGTTTGATTGTATGTGTGTGTCTGTTTGTATGGTTGTGTTTCTGTCTCTGTGTGTGTTTGTTTGTTCTGTGTGTGTGTGTGTGCGCGAGTGAGATCAAACATCAGATGCGTTTCTGTCTGTGTGTTTGATTGTATGTGTATGTGTATGGTTGTTTGTGTGTGTGTGTGTGTGTGTGTGTGTGTGTGTGTGTGTGTGTGTGTGTGTGTGTGTTGAGTTAGTGAGTTAGTGAGTGAGTGAGTGAGTGAAAGCGTGAGTGAGTGAGTGAGTGAGTGAGTGAGTGAGTGAGTGAGCGAGCGAGTGAGTACGTACGTACGTACACGCGCGCGCGAGTGAGATCACACATCAGATGTGAACGTGTGTGTGTTTGTTAGTGTGTGTCTGTGTGTATGTGTGAGTGTGTTTCTGTCTATGTATGCGTGTTTGATTGTATGTGTGTGTCTGTGTGTAGGGTTTTGTTTCTGTTTGTGTGTGTTTGATTGTTCGTTTGTTCTGTCTGTGTGTGTGAGGGTTTGTGAGAGTGTGCGTCTGTTGGTATGTGTGTGTGTGTGTGTGTTATGGGCCTTCAGCTTGGTGTGTCCCAGCCTTAAATGTGTGTGTGCGTGTGAGTGAGTGAATGTGTGTGTGTGTGTGTGTGTGTGTGTGTGTGTGTGTGTGTGTGTGTATGACACACCTGTAGTAGCTGGTCTCCTTGCGCTGGCTCTGCTGTGGACAGAAGCTGTGTGTGTACTGGTGCAGGCCGAGCTCAAACAGCGATGGGAAGACTTTGCTGCACTGGTGGCAGCGGTATGTCAGCTGCTCCTGGTGTGTGTGGATGTGCTCCAGGAACTGATCCAGCTTCTGAAACGTCTGCGAGCAGCTCTTCAGCACACAGCGGTAGACCTGCAACAGTTCCTCAGGTCAGTCATGCACACCGGCCGCGCTTACATGCGCACACACATCATCCGTTTGTAAAGGTTCACACTTTCATGAGGACTTATTAAATCACTAACAATTTTAAATCCAGGGCCTTTGTAATTGTGTGTGTGTGTGTGTCACCTGCTCGCCCTTGTGCTGCGTCATGTGGGACTTGAGCTGGAAGTAAGAGCTGAATTTGTCAGAGCAGAACTGGCACTGGTATGAGCTGTCGATGAGGATCATCTGCTTATTGAGGCTATTTGAGTTGCTCTGCTTGTCTTCCGGCTGAACCTGGGCCTCCTGCACATCTCCATCATGCTCTTCAGACGCTATAAATCAACACACACACACACACGTTGGTTTTTAAGGACTCTCCATAGGCGTAATGTATTTTATTTTGTAAAAATAAGCTTATTATGTGACCATATTACAGTGGCAGAGAGAGTCTAGCGCACTCTTATTTAAGAAAACACATGCAGTTACAAAAAACACAAGCAAAAGTAGAAAAGATCTTCAATGTTTTGGCAGCATAAGTGTTGTTTAACCCTCCTGATCCTACACCACCCAACCCGCTCCGAGCTGGTATCAAACTAGTGACCTTCCGCATGGGAGTCGGTTGCTCTACCAAGGAGGCTAAAGACCATGGCCTCTAGCATCTGCCGCTACAGCACCATTAAGGTCAGAGAAGTGAGGTTTATCGGCACAGCACTTACTATCTGGCCTCTGCTACACTCACCCCCCTAAACCTCACTCCCATCCGGGTCACGGCACCAATGTAACCCTGCCGGTCCTACGCCACCCAACCCGCACTGAGCTGGTCTCGAACCGGTGACCTTCCGCATGGGAGTAAGTTGCTCTGCCAAGGAGGCTATAGACCATTGCCTCTAGCAACTGTCGCTAGAGCACCTTTAGAGGTCAGAGGAGTGACTCTGCTACACTTGCAAATCCTCACAACGCACGACGGCTTCGCACCCTCTGAGGAAATTTTTGACTTGTTTTCAGTAGGGTTGGGCATCTAAGCTATAATGCCGATCCGATACGCATCTCGATACAAAGAATACGATCCGATATATTAGCGATACATTTGTGACATATTGCGATGCAACACGATACGATTCACACCCATATCACGATACAATGCGATAATTCAGCACTAACTAATTAGCTCAAGTTTATGAGATTATGTGAAAGAGGATGCTGTGCCATTGAATGAGTTTGATTATTTATTAACCAAGCAAAACCAAGACTTTTTTTACAAACTGGCTCTTCTCTCAGAGCCAGAGTGTCAGTTTACAGTAGAGGGCCATTTTAGAACATATAGCACATATTATTTAAGTATTTTCAAGATAAACAGAATGTATAAGTGCAATATATATTATAAAGGTATATATTTGCACTCTTTCAACATAAAGGTTTAGCATTGCACAACAAGAATTGTGATTTAACTTTTCAACTATGAAAACAAGTTTTACAAAGATATATTTTGCCACTGAATATTCAAAACTTAAGGTGGTGAACTAGCAGTGTTATGCTGCTTTGAAACATCACTGTCACAGTAAACAACAGGCTAATAAAAATAGAACAAACCAGCAATCTTCTTGCTGTGAGGTGGTCAAACTACCCACTGTGCCACCGTGACACCCATTATTTTTATCATTATTATTATTAATATTATTATTATTATAATTAAATAAAAATTAACAGGAGGAGGTGTTTAAAACCTTCGTTCTCCGTGACACTAGGCTGAATATCTTTGCAGATGAACAATGCAATAGCATTCGTTATTGGCGTAGAGCGAACAAAACTTTTGCGCATGGAAAAAAACTTTCAATGCTTTTCTCACCACTTTTGGAGCTGGTAGCTACAGTTGAAGCAGTGCAGGAAGCCGGGGATGCAGGAACACTGAAAGATGCTTCCACAACAACACCATGGCGCCGCTTTAAGTGAGATTTCAGATTAGTCGTACTGCCCGTGTATTTTACAGATGCGCGGCACATTTTGCAAATTGCATCTGTCCTGTCATGTCGTCCATCCTTAAATTCATAATGTTGCCATAATTTAGATTTAAAACTCAGTGGGGAATAAAATGTTTGTTTTGCTTCTCGCGCTTTGAGGGCGCACCACTAGCTTCATCCGCACACCTGATACACTGAGTTGTAGTGTAAGTGTACACATCCGCAAATCCGTTGCTAAGGCTTACTTTATGTAGGTCGATTTAATTATGCGCCAAAAACAGGTTGACAACACTTGTTAATAAATAAAAAATACATTCTATATTAAAAATATAAGCTGTATCTCGCAAAAACCGATGCATCTCGATTTGCTTCCAAAATTTCATTCATCTTCTGCTGCTCTACCGATGCACTCGCATCGTGCACGCGCATGACCGCGTATCGATACATATCGATTAATCTTCCCATCCCTAGTTTTCAGCTGCTTGTCAATGGTTCTAGCTGTATTCTAGCTGTTTTCAGCTGTTTGTGACGGTTTTGCACCCCCCGAGGACATTTAAACTTGTTTTCAGTGTCTGTGTGTGCGTCTAGAAAGTTTACCCACTGTTTCCTTGATTACTGTAAGAGCTTGTGTGTCGATCGCAGACAGTTTCGCGCCCCACAGTTCCAGGTGTTTTTACTCTCGAGGCGTGTCCAAGCACCAGGTAATGTATATACGGTATATACGTAAAGTATATACGGGGCACAGCAGGCTCAGTAAGTAGGAGAAACATTTTAGCAACGAGACCAGCTGTGAGTAAGTACATTTAGACTTGCTTTCAGTCTCTGTGCATGGTTCTAGCTGTTTGTGAGGGCTACGCACCCCCCGAGGACACTCCATTAAAGACGGATAAATGTGTGTAGTTTGCTTCAGATGTGTATGGGTCACCTGTCTGCTCGTCCTGCGCTGTGTTTTGCTCGGCGTTCAGAGGAAGCAGTCGGACGGTGATAGGCATCCGAGAAGCGCTGCTGTGAACTCCAGCAGGCCAAACCTTGTGCGTCTGCATGTGTTTCTTCACATTAGACTTCTGCGCAAACGCACGACCGCAAACAATGCACTGAAACGGCTTCTCACCGGTGTGACTGCAGGGAAAAACCAGGAGAATGCATTAGGTTAGGGATAAAGCACATGTTGTCTATGTTAAATAAATAAATATCATAAAAATAAATGTTTAATTGACAAAAGAAGTCAATTGTGAAATTCAAACTCAGGAAAAGGTCAGCATTGTCAAATATGTATTTATAAAGACTGTACAGTATTCTGTACAGTCAGAATTCTACAAAAACTTAAAATAAAAACTGTAAGATGAGCGGTCAAATTAAAAAATGATCTCAGAATTAATTTTTTGTTATTTGTATTGACTGATATTGGATTCAATTAATGCTATAAGCATATTTGCAATAATATGTAAATGGCAGATATTGATAATCTATTAGTTTCATGGAGAAAATGAGCTGCACATCTTTGGAATAATCCAACATTTGATTAGGCTTGGGTGGTAATACGGTGATATGGTATATTGCGGGATCTAAAACTAGCAACGGTGTCAGTTTCAATACCGTTATACCATCATAAAAACAATGCACTTAAATAGGAGACAAATATTAAATCATAAATGTTATTTATTTAATGCCTAAAAATACACATGCGTGATTGTCATGACTGGACAGTGAAGGGGAGAGAGAGAGAGAGAGAGAGAGAGAGAGAGGGGGGTGAGGTGGGATTTCGAGTCGCGCACCAAGTCACCTGCAGTGTGTGTGTGTGTGTGTGTGTGTGTGTGTGTGTGTGTGTGTGTTATGTGTAAATAAGAGAGTATGCTGTCTGTGTGTCGCTTAGTTCTCCCCCCCCTCTCTATGTGTGTGTGTGAATGAGAGAGAAAGAGACACACACACACACACACACACACACACACACACACACAGCATCTACGTGGATGCGCGTGTGCTCGTGAGCGATATTGTAAAACCGCACTACCGCTTCCTTTTAAGTTACCGACCGCTCCGCACTTTTTTTACCCGGAGGAAACCCACGCCAACACGGGGAGAACATGCAAACTCCACACAGAAATGCCTACTGACCCAGCCGGGACTCGAACCAGCAACCTACTTGCTGTGAGGCCACAGTGCTAACCACCGAGCCACCATGCCACCCATAAATGAATATAAACAACAAAAACAACATGATATTAAATCTGCTGGTTTACCTTCTGATGTGCTGCTGGAGGTCAAAGTTCTTGGTAAACACTTTTTCACAGTAATTGCACTTGAGTTTCTGGGCTTTACCTTTGGCTTGGCCTGCTGGAATAACATATATAAGAAAAATCAGTCAGAAGTCTGCTTTGTCATGCGTTTAGGGTCATTCAGGAGGTTTATCACAGAATAAAGCAGACTTATCGGCTGTATAAGACTGAATGGTTAATTCTGTGAAAACGACGTCATGGATGTATTTTATCCCACTTATTTCACTGCTACTTGCCACAAATCGTAACAATTACGATTTATTGTAATTGTAATAGCTTGTAATAGCTTGTAATAGCTTGTTTATTCTTTAATTAAAAGCAAAGCTGATGGAGTATACACTAACCTGTGCATTATTCAGACACTAGATGGTGCCAAATAGTCAAAAACACAAAGCTGACAGAAATTAGAACAGCTGATGGAGTATACACTAACCTATGCATTATTCAGACACTAGATGGTGCCAAATAGTCAAAAACACAAAGCTGACAGAAATTAGACCAGCTGATGGAGTATACACTAACCTGCGCATTATTCAGACACTAGATGGCACCAAACATTCAAAAACACAAAGCTGACAGAAACAGCTGATGGAGTATACACTAACCTGCACATTATTCAGACACTAGATGGAGACAAACAGTCAAAAACACAAAGCTGACAGAAACAGCTGATGGAGTATACACTAACCTGCGCATTATTCAGACACTAGATGGAGCCAAACAGTCAAAAACACAAAGCTGACTGAAACTAAAACAGCTGATGGAGTATACACTAACCTGCGCATTATTCAGACACTAGATGGCGCCAAACAGTCAAAATTAAACTGTCTGAATCGGACATACACTAACATGCGCATTCTTTAGTCGCAAGATGGCACAAAACAGTCTAACTTAATGAATCAGCTTCTTAATGAATCAGCCATTTTGAACGTTTTGATATTAAGGTCATTAGAAGTACTAATTAAGACTTATGTATCCATAAATAAATACAACCCCAAATCAGAAAAAGTTGGGACAGTATGGAAAACTCAAATAAAAAAGAAGGCAGTGATTTCTAAAGTTACCTTGACTTGTATTTCATTGCAGACAAACAACATTTAATGTGTTCCTCGTTTTTTTTTCTACCAAATAAACAAGATTTTGGTTCTTGCAACACATTTAAAAAAAAAGTTTACCACATTGTAATGTTGCCATTCCTTTACACAACACTACAAATAAGTTTATTCACTGAAGACAGCAAATGATGAAGTGTTTCAGGTGTCATTTTGTCCAATTGTTTGTGCAAACAAGTCTTAGGGTGGGCAACAGTACAGGGTCTTTGTTGACGTACATTCTTTATTAGAGACAGGCTGGGACTGCAGGCAGGCCAGTCAAGTATCCTCTTCCTCTGCAGCAGGACTCTGTAATGTGTGCAGAATGTGGTTTTGCATTGACTTGATGACGTATGCATGGGCATCCCTGGAAAAGACGGCAGCATATTGTGCTCTAAAATCTCTGTATTTTTCAGCATTAATGGAGCATCACAGAAGTGAAGTTATCTTTGCCAAGGGAACGGACACAACTCCATACTATGACAGACCCTGGCTTTTGAACTTGTTGCTGGTAACAGTCTGGATGATCCTTTTCTTCTTTGGTCCAGAGCACACGGCATCCATTTCTCCCAAAAAATACCTAAAATACAAATTCATCTGCCCACAGTTCACGTTTCCACTGTGTGATGGTCCATCCCAGATGCCTCAGAGCCCAGAGACGTCAACGGCGCTTCTGGACAATGTTAACATAGGGCTTCCTTTTGGCACAGTACAATTTTAACTGGCATTTGTGGATGTAATTACGTATTTTGGTACTTGACAGGTTTGCCGCAGTAGTCCTGAGCCCATGTGGTGATCTGGCTTATAGATGAATAAGGATTCTTGATGCAGTACCGTCTGAGGGGTCGAAGATCACGGTTGTTCTGCTTAGGCTTGCGCCCTTTTCCTTTACTCACTGAAATTCCTTCAGATTCCTTCAATCTTTTAATGATGTTCTGCCCTGTTGAAGGTGAAATATTCAAATGTCTTCTCTTTCTCTGAGGAACACTGTTTTTAAACATTTCAATAATTTTCTCATGCATTTGTTGGCAAACTGGCGATCCTCGGCCCATCATTGCTCCTAAAGGACTAGACCTTTCTTGAATGCTGCTTTTGTACCAAATCACAATCACCTGTTGACATCACCTGATTCAAATCACATCACTATTGACTACTAGCCCTAAACTGCTCCTGTCACAACTGTTTTTGGACATGACATATTTTGTCCATGTTGTCTGAAATGAAATACAAGTCAAAGTAAATTTAGAAATCACTACTATCTAGGGATGTAACGGTATCAGAATTTCACGGTACGGTAATACCTCGGTATGAATGTCACGGTACGGTATTTATTGAATCATTTACAGGAAAAAACAAAACTTATGAAAATACTCCAAAAAAGTGCCAAAAGTGTCAATGACATACAAATTAGCCATCTATCTGTAAGCTTTGAAACAGGAACTTCAATTTTAATAACAAAAAATATTAAACCATGTAAAAAAATTAAGTTTCAATTTAGTATTGTTGAAAACTCATCACATTCAACATTTAATCACTCACTCACTTAGATAGAGATGGGTTTAAAGGAAAATTATCATATAAATATACTCTGGTAAAAGCTGGTATCTCTGGGTATTTACAATGTCCCCTGCAACAGAAAAAACCCCTCTCATTTGGGACTGAGGTTTCTGGGACAGAGAGATATGACTTGGCCCAGGTTGACAGCAGTGGGTAACGTTGTGCATTGTCTTTCCCCCACTTGAGAGGACAAACCATGATTGAGATCGAGATCTCATGTCTGCATCAATCTGAACAGTGTGCTGTGTTTCTGCAGTCCCCATGACTGATTATTAGTCGTATTCCCCAACTTGCAGGCACGTGCACACACAGTGCTCAACCTGTGCAGTGCACATGCCCTTTTTAGTCTTGAATAGAAAGTTCCCTTCCAAAATGGTCAAAAGTGCCCCCGCGACGCGTCACACCCTCCGTCCCCGCTTTACAGTACGCGCGCGACAACACAGCTGATCAGAACTCGCGCGACAACACCACTATTCAGTACGCGCGCGGCGACAACACCCGCTTTAGAGTTTTCCAGCTCTTTTTCATCCCCGCTTCTAGCTGCACACTCCATTTCCGCATTACTGGATCTGTAGCGACAACAGACCGCAAGGGATTATGGCCAAGCCTGGGCTGATGGGAATTGTAGTTTCCGGTACCTCCCGTTCGCTTCATTCGCCTGAGCAAATTTTCTCAGAAGACCTATAGTTTTACCGAGTCATGCGACTACGGTAATATCGAAAAAAATTAATATTGCGGTATGACGGTATTTACAATACCGTTACATCCCTACTACTATCTTATTTATTTTTGTTTTCCATACTGTTCCAACCTTTTGAGGTACAGGTGATGTGTGGTTGACAGTACCATCCTGTGTTTTCTTGGAGACCCTGCTCCTCTTGGGGATGATAACCTTGTCGTATTCTGCCAGCTCCGACAGGTTTGTGCTGATGGTGCATGCCTTGTTTTTGGTGCTCTGTTTTCCTGGGCTGTAAACTGGCGCGGCACTGAACACCTGACCCTCCACACACTGACTGGGCACCTGACAAACACACACATCAGCTGAGCAGGTAAACAATACACACACATGTATATATGTATATATGTATATGTATATATATATATATATATATATATATATATATATATATATATATATATATATATATATATATATATATATATATATATATATAT